CTTTTGTATTTTCGTTGGTCGTTCGGAATCCTACCTGTCCTTGTTTCGATTATTTTTTACGACATTGCTCTAGAATCCTACTTAACCTTGTTTTTTTAAATTTTTTATGTTCTGGTACACATTACAATCTTTTGTATACAATTAGATACTCCTAACACTACAAGCAAAACAACTGTATAACAGTAAACTACTATGCTACACTTTTAAGGTAAGTTTTACTAATAATAAGAACACAATACACATTACAATCTTTTGTATACAATTACATACTCCTAACACTACAAGCAAAACAAATTTATAACACAAAGGACACAATGCTACACTATTAAGGTAAGTTTTACTAATAATAAGTAAACAATACACATTACTATCTTTTGTATACAATTAGATACTCCTAACACAACAAGCACAGCAACTGTATAACAGTAAACTACAATGCTACACTATTAAAGTAAGTTTTACTAAAAATAAGAACACATACACATTGCAATCTTTTGTATACAATTAGATACTCCTAACACTACAAGCAAAGCAACTGTATAACAGTAAAGGACACTATGCTACACAGTTTTACTAATAATAAGAACACAAGACACATTACAATCTTTTGTATACAATTAGATACTCCTAACACAACAAGCAAAACAACTGTATAACAACAGTAAAGGACACTATGCTACACTATAAAGGTAAGTTTTACTAATAATAAGAACACAATACACATTACAATCTTTTGTATACAATTAGACACTTCTAACACCACAAGCAAAGCAACTGTATAACAGTAAAGGACACTATGCTACACTATTAAGGTAAGTTTTACTATTAATAAGTAAACAATACACAGTACAATCTTTTGTATATAATTTGATACTCCTGACACAGCAAGCGAAACAACTGTATAACAGTAAAGGGCACTATGCTACACTATAAAGGTAAGTTTTACTAATAATAAGAACACAGTACACATTACAATCTTTTGTATATAATTTGATACTCCTAACACAGCAAGCAAAACAACTGTATAACACTAAGAAGGTAAATTTTACTAATAATAAGTAAAGAATACACATTAAAATCTTTTTTATACAATTAGATACTCCTAACACTACAAGCAAAACAACTGTATAACAGTAAACTACTATGCTATACTATTAAAGTAAGTTTTACTAAGAATAAGAACACAATACACATTACAATCTTTTGTATAAAATTAGATACTCCTAACACTACAAGCAAAGCAACTGTATAACACTAAAGGACACTATGCTACACTGTTAAGGTAAGTTTTACTAATAATGAGAACACAATACAAATTACAATCTTTTGTATACAATTAGATACTCCTAACACAACAAGCAAAGCAACTATATAACAGTAAACTACTATGCTACACTATTAAGGTAAGTTTTACTAATAGTAAGAACACAAGACACATTACAATCTTTTGTATACATAACTACAGTACAAGCCAATAAAAACTTCGCGTTCCGTTTACGTTGAATGGCCGTTGGGCGTTTCAACGCTATATAAAAAACGTTTACTTCCGTTTATGGTCCGTTTTTCCATGG